CCCCACAGAAGCCCCCGTCACACGGTCACCTGTGTTCTACCTCACACTCCAGCGTGGGCTTTTTCCAGGATGTGCCCTGAGCCTGTTCTGAATGGCTATCTATCGCCCAACTCCCCCACACCATGTGTCTGCCTGGGAGGTAAGTCCAGAGGGGTGGCCAGGAGCTAGAGCCCAGAGAGGGCTTGGACCCTCATGAGCAGCAGCTCTCGGGCACCTGCCCCCAGGGAGCCAGGTCTGAACACTTCTCCACACAGGCCCAGAGCCCTCAAACACCTGCCAGGAAGGGCCTGTTTCTTCAGGGTGAGCCCTCAGCTGTCAGGTAGCCACCAAACAGGAAAAAGCAGCTGCGAGCCCCTGGTTGGACTTGGCAGCTCCCATCCTCCGTCCCTGTGGTTGGAGTTAAAGGAACCATCAGAAGTGGAGAAGCCACTTGGGTTCACCTAGGACGCACCCTTCTCGTCAAGGGGCCAGTCCTAGAAGAAACCTGTAATCCCTGGAGTGTGAAAAAGGACAAAAAGAAAAGGCTGGCCCGGTTTCCTTCCTCCCCGATAGGCACTTCTTCTTGCTCAGTGCAATACCTACCAGTGCTGCTAAAACCAGGGATTCACCCAGACCTCAGAAGGCCCAAGGGGCCTCTCCATGCAACACTCCGTAGCCATGACCGCAGCTCTCCGCTGCTTGCCCCTGCCCAGAGCCGGCAGAAGCCCTCTGTTGCCTTTCCTCCCTCAGAGCAGAGAGGCCCCAGGGGAGCCAGGGCTGCGTGGACCCTAGGACGGCCACAGAGAGCCACTCGACCCCAGAGCAGGCGCCCCTTCCCAAACCAGCTTTCTGCAGCCAACCGCCTCCCGGCACCAGCGGCAGACCACCCTCAGGAGCGCCAGGGAGGGGCTCCAGCGTGGAGGCCCCAACCCGCCTCGGATCCAGGCCCGAGCTGCGGGCCCTGGATCCGGAACCCTGAAAGGTAGGGTGCCCCGCGCCCCGCCCCTTGCTTACTTCCAGCCCCCAGCAGTTCAGGGTGGTCTTTTCTCTCTCAAGTGGCCTCCAACGCCCTACCCAGCCACAGCACCTCTGCCTTCCATCGGACCCATTCCCCGGCCTCCAGTCAGGGCCAGGACACCCGAGACTCCCCTTAGCACAGCACAAGCTCCAGTGCCCGAGGCCTGTCCCCCAACCCGGCCACCCACATGTCCAGCCCCACCTGCTCAGTGCTACTCCCGGTTCAATTTGTGTAAATATTTATTTTTGTGAGTGAACAATACTACAAAGTAATCAGCAGGTCTTTTGCAAAACATTCCCCCAGGCAATTTGCGAAAATCCTAAAGTTGAAAACTGGCAGAGACAATCGCCGCCTTAGAATTCTTGATACCAACTGCGTGTCATTTCCCCTCCCCGGAGGCAGGACCCAAGCCAGGCACCGCGCGCGCGCGCTTCTCTCACAGACAGGAGAGAGGCAGGCTGGGAGGGGCTGCGGCTGCCACCCACACGCAAGGGATTAGAGCTAAAGATCAGCATAAGCTCCAGTTGGAAGTCGGCTCTCCTCAGCCGGCCACCAAGGCCTGCCTTAGCACTGGGCAAGAGCGCAGGCACACTCGTGTGAGAGGAAGGCCCCGGGTGCTCGTGGTGAAGGCCCGCCGGGGCTCCCCGCGGCCCCTCCGGGACAGTGGATTCTGTCGCGGTGACCCCACCGCTTGGGTGGGCCCCTCCGTGAAGCTATGCCTAAAGCCCTGGTCATGGCAAAATCAGGAGCAAGTCACTGTGTGGAAACAGGACTCCATTAGCTAGTTCAGTCAGGGACCTTGTTCTGTTTTGCGTTTGTTTTTCAAAGATGCAGCTTCAACCCCTCCCCACTCCTGACTTGGAGGGCACCAAAGAGCTGGTTCGGCTGGACCTAGCTCACTGCCGTCCCACCCGTCCCACCCGCACCCGCACCCTCACCCTCACCCCAGGGACTGCCTTCTCCTAAAGGGAGCTTCCAAGGCCCTGCCCCGCAGCCCTTTGAAATTCTGACGGAGGGCCTCGGGGGCGCAGATTCATCATGGGGGATCCTAAGCCAGAAGGTAACTCAAGAGTTAGAATACACCAATTCCTGAGTCTTTGCAGGGGGCTAATCCCAGCAGAAGAGTAGAATCAGGAGAAATGGGAATTTGGTCTTAGTGGTGGATAACTAGACGACCAGTAATGGTGTGACCCATCTGAAATTCATTTTACCATCACCTCCAGGACAGTTTATACCCAAGGGCAGTGTTGAGGGGGAGGGGGACCGAAGGGGGCGAGCAGGGTTTTCAAGGATTTCAAACAGGTGGAACCCGGCCATCCCTATTCCCAAGGGCCACTTACGACTCCAGGGGTGGTTACAGGATTAACTACCAGTTCATTTTCAAAATGCTGCTTTGAACTCAGAGGGTTGATACTTTTAATTTGTAATTTTTTGTAAAACTTTTTACAAGATAGTAAAGTATTTCACCAGAATACCAGTTTCAATCCGTCCATGGTCTGATTTTTATATAATTTAGTGGTGCTTTAGAAACTTTGTTTTTGTTGTTTCTGAGCTAAACAGCTCAATCCTTTTTCGCCTGTATCTACCTAAGACCAATGTGAACCTTTGTATTTTTGCTCCTAATTTTGGACTCAGTGAAAGTGTACTGTTTACATGTACAGATGCCCCCGTCCCTGTGTGTTCCGCAAGACTCGCTCTTGAGGAGGAAGGGGCACCTCACTAAGCTCATCTGCTTAGCAAAGCCACAAAACAAAAACCTCTCACTTTTTACCTGTGTTTCCACCTAAAAACAAAAGCAAAAACCCTACGCCACATAGAACTCAGATTTGCTGAAAAATACTTTTCTAAGCTCAGAAAAATATCCGTGCGTCAGATGGCCCACAGGCCTCTGTCACGTGGTCCATTGAGGAGCAGGGGTCAGAGCAGACACTTCCCAGGGGCTGCCAGCGGGGGCACCTGCGTGGCCTCTCGGAGAGCACGAGCAGGACTTGACTGCAGGGCTGTGGGCCGTTGTAGTTCTTCCAGCAGCCCGGGAAGCGGGGAGGTCAAGATGACCCTTGTGACCTTCAGGGTCAAGCCGCCCAGGATCCAGGGACGACCCAAGAGGCTGTCAATCCTCTGGCATGATTTAGACATGTTTCGGAAGAGCGCAAGTTCCCCATCCGAGATGAGGTTTTAGGACTTGCCAGTGCAGATGGTACAAACATTTCTTCAGGGTTCCCCTGGAGGCAGCTTGTTCGCGAGGCATCACCCTCTGAGGAGGGGCAGGGGGCTCCAGACAGTAAGCATATGGCACTGGAGACAAACAGCGGGCGGCACCAACTTTTACAGGTGACTCTTTATTACTTAATCAATGGCTACACCTCTAAATTATATTTTTACAGATATGCACCTATGCAACTTAACGTGGCTCTTCTAAGCAGGTGAGGACTTCCTCCTCAACGCTCTATAAAAATTATTTGTGTTCTATATAGTGAGTTTTTTCCAGTAAATGTGGCTTAATATTTTAATTCTTAGACTGTGTCTTCTTTATGTGATGCAACTAAATTCTGTTTTGTTTGTGGAATGACTAGCACAGGCCAAGTCCCTCTCCCTCACTTAACAAAAGACCAATGAGCTGTTAATCGAGCTGTTATCTCCATGGTATTACTTGCTAAATGCACTGATTTCATAAGTATGTGGAATCCCTTTTCTTTTGAATCTGTATATCATATATAAGACTGAATCTACTTAATAAACACTGAATAACAAATCAGACGCTTCATTCCCGCCGTGTCCTCTCAACAGCCCTGCCAGCCGACTCTCTCCCGCAAATCTAGTTCGGCACCGACAGACATGGCCTTCTGCTAGGAGACCACCCTTTCCCAGCCCACGCCCTAGCCCACCACCGCAGGCCCTCAGTCAACTGTTCTCGAACAAATAATCCTGTCATTTCAACAGCTAGCCCGTCAGAAAGAGAAGGAAACGAACCTTACTGGTACTCATCAGGTGTCAGGTGCGGGAGGCACCTTCCCGGGGGTGCACACCAGTCACCCAGCAAGGTCCCTCACATGCGGCCTCTGCCCTCGCCCCAGCGCGCAGCTCTTCGCCGGCCGAGACCAAACTCACATGGATTGGCCCCGCTAAGTGCTGGCTTGGAAAACTGAGGAAACACCATCCCTGATCCTGAACCTTCTGCACTTGACGTCCGACTCGACCCCAAACTCCCAATCCCACCTTAAGGGAAAAGGGCAGTTTACCTGTGCGCAGTCTTTTTTTCATCCTACATAGATCATTTAGGCTAACCCTGGAGGAAAACTTGCAGGAATATGGCTTGGGGCTAACCTGTCATGAGTTCTTAAAAAAATTCTGAATTACGAGCGTGTCAGTTTTACTGTTATAATGTGTGTGTGTGTACGTACAGACACAGACACACGTGACAGTTTTTAAAACATTTATATTTTGTAATGGTAGAAGAATCTTGAAAGCTGAAATTCTGTATAAAACTCAAATATATAAAATACATTAAAAAGGGGGGGGGGCACCTGGGTGGCTCAGTCGATTAAGCATCCGACCCTGGATTTCACCTCAGGTCACGAGCTCACGGTTGTGAGATCAAGCCCCATGTCGGGCTCTGTGCCGAATGTGGAGCCTGCGTAAGGTTCTCTCTCTCCCTCTGCCCTTCCCCCACTTGTGCTCTCTCTCTCTCAAAAAAAAAAAAAAAGATGAAAAGAGAGGGGACAATAGTTGAAAGACACTGCACCCAGGGAACCCCCTCTGTTCATAAGGGTGATTGTTCACAAGGACGGTGAAAGCCAAAGACAGCAGCTAGGTGCCCCTCTTCACACAACGAAGGGACCAACGGCGGCAATGCCTCAGTGATACCATGAAAACCCCTGTCCTACCAAAACTACCACTGCTGAGAATCACCAAGGGACCCGAAACCCCCACAACCTGGGACGGCATACCCTGGGCCCAGGCCCACCGCACACAGACTACGCACGCAGACCAGGAAAGCGCTTACCTCCAGATGAAGTGCCACACAGCTCCACAGGACGGCGGCACGGAGATCGAGGAGACATCGTCACTCAAGGACGGAGAAGCGTTGCTTGATCCCAGCCTGGCTTCTTTAATTGGGGCCCCAGGACCACTGTTGTTAACAGCGTACAGGACAACGTCAAATAGGAAATGCCCCCACGGAACAGTGAACTAAAATTTACTCAATGACAGAACAGGCAACCCTCCCTTTACTCAGGGAAGGGGAGGGAAGGGGAGAACAGGCACAGAAGTGCATTTTAAAAGTAACTATGATGCACTGGGGAAGCCCAGTTTACAAGAAACCCAAGAATCCTTTGCAAAGTCCTCTCTCCCCTCCCTGATCTTTTGTATCAACCCAGATTTTATTCGGGTTCCCGGCAGTCAAGGGCTCCTAAATGAGGGGTCCCCAGCTGCCTGAGGAGCCGATGGGCCCTATGACATACTTCACACAAGTTGGTGTGGATGTGCCTTCCTGTGGGAGGGTGTCTGGAGCCTCCGTTGGGCTCTCCGAGGGGTCTGTGTCCCCAGCAAGGTTAAAAGCCACTGCCCAGACAGCTCTTTTAGTAGCTCTTATTTTCCCTCTAGAGCTTCTGCCTGCACCTTCAGTAGTTAGTCCAGGCCTTCAAACTGATGCACGGAGACAGGAGGAAGTATGGTCACCGTCAACATTTGGTTTCAAGTATTAGTCTCCAGGGTCACAAAGCCCACTCTCCCCATCAGTTTAAACGGTGCCCACACACAAGGGCAACACAGCCTGTGCCACCTCCTCTCAGGAGGCAAGCAGGCAGATGCTCTGGTCCCCGGGGCCCTTGATTTTAGGCAGGCTACTCTATGAAGCACACACATACTCCCCATCCCTCTCTCGAGCAGCTTCTGACTTTCTTTAGAGCAGGATGGACATAAAACAGTCACGATACTCACCAGGCCAGTACAATAATCGTCTCTCCGTATCCTGAAACCTTAGGTTTCCTCGTCCTTCAGATCACGAGTACAAACAGTCTCCTCTGCCAGACACCCAGTCTCTGAACTTAGGGCTGTGCACTCAGCAACTACAGTCTGAGCGTGAGGCCAGAAGCCACATGTCCGGTGAGAGGCCGCCACCCCACCCCTCAGCGCCCAAGGCCCGCCTCTCCACAGTCCCCCTCTGGGGCAAGGATCGGGCAGGTGGCAGGCGTCACACAGACCTCTACTCCAAGGTCAGGCCGCCACTGTCCTGCCGGGTGCAAGCTAAAAGTCCAGAGTACTCCCCGCGTGCCAGGCACTAATGACTTTACAAAGAAGGAATCGCCGTCCCCATTCTGAGGCGGGAGCGCGGGCGGAGACGGACGCGGAGACTGCACAGCCAGTAGGGGGAACAGGGCTCGCGTGCTGAGCCCACCGTTCTCGGCTGCCTCCTTCACGACACTCGAGACGCGATCGCAAGGTCAGGTCCCAGGCCTGCTTTCTAAAGCATTCTAAGCTCCCGCGGCCTTTAAGCGAGCCAACGGGTGCCGTGCCCTGACAGCACAAGTACACACACATCATCACCACTAGGAGGCCACCCAGTCACTACAGGGCCACCCAACCTCACTTCTCCACCTGCCCTTCCATCGACAGCAGCAGCACAGAACTGCAGCCAGAACTGCCCCAGGAGGTACTCCACCACACGGAAAGCCGACCTCGACCAACTCACGGGAAATGAGCTAACGGATACACATTTTAGTCAATCTGTACTTCCGCCGTGTGTCTTTTTACTTCTGGCTTGTTTCTATACTAAGGTTGTTTCTGAGCAGCACAAACTCGCGCGTGTCAGCACTCCAGATATGTCTGGGGACGGACTGGGACGTCCTGCAGCCGTCACCCTCAGGCCCACGCCACTAGCACCTGCTGGCTGCCCGCTATGCAGAGAGGCGCTCGTGTTTACAGATCTTTCAAGGTCAGAACTGGTCACCACCCCCTAGGCCACCAGCCACCAGAAAGCTCTTCGGCGAGTGTGTCTCAGCAGGGCAGCTGGGATGAGCGCCCTCACTGTTCTCGTTCGATTTTGGCTTCCAGTCAACGCAGTCACACCCAGAGTCTAAAGACCCAGCAAAAGCGGCGAGTCTGGGCCTTCGGCACTGACCTCACAGAAGAGCTTCCAGCCCGAGGACATCAGCACTGGAGCCGGAGCTGAGGTGAAGCGAGCCGACGTTTGCTCCTGCGGTGCCGCTTTCGCACTCCTGGCCTTCCTTTCCAGCCCGGCGGGGCGGCCACACAAGAGGACGGAGACCACAAGCGCAGGCTGTACACGTTTATTTTTCCAAAACCACGAGACATACAAGAACAGTGCTGTCCCTGGGCAGCCCCATGGACCAGACCAGTTTCTGCCTGTAGCCTAGAGGCCGCCAAAGGTCACAGCAGAAGGAAGAAGAGGATCAAACACACTTGGGCCTCTGCTCCCTGTCTTTGGTAAACAGACTCTTGAAGCTGCCAACTCGGGACTTGGCCAGTACTGCATTTAAGTCACATGATTGCCAACTTCTCACTCGTGCTTCAGAGGACAAAAATGCCACAGTGGATGAACCCGGGTGGGGTGGGGTGGGGTGGGGTGGGGTGGGGTGGGGGGAGACCTTTCGGGTGAAATGACACTTGCTGAAGTCACACCAATTTTCTACTTTACACAGAAGCACTCACATAGGGAGACCTAAGTCAAATGAGGGCTCTGAACTCTGCCACAAGTCGAGGTGTAAGAAGTAAGGCAGGAAGCAGGGTGAGGGAAGACAACTATGGAGACGTCTGCGCTGTTAATGTGTCGGGAGAGAGGCAGGCAACGAGCGTGGCTGTTTCTTCAGCAACCTGCTGTCAGAAGTACATCAGACGGAGCCCTCGGGCCCCAGGAGAACACGGCCCCAGCTACTGCTGAAGGTGGTAACCCTGGAGCCAGATCTGGAAAGCCTGCCTGGGGCCACCCAGGGCACTCACCCTGGACTCCAGAGCACTTAACGCCCGTGGCGGTGATTTGTCACGTACGGCAGCGAGCGGCCAGTGGGAGGTCGGAAGAGAAGAAACGCGAGGGGCGAGACACGTCTGCTCAGCTGAGCGCGGGCGGGCGGGCTGGCTGTGGCTCTGCAGGCTACAGCAGGTCCACTAGGCGACCGAGCCACGCTGGCAGATCACAAGTCAGTCACTCCACCCTCGTGTCGGGCAGCACAGCGCGCAGTGGCTCTGACACAGGTGGAGAGAAGTACACCACTTTAATGCAATGATGCCGAAGACGGAAAATAAGGGAGAGACACTTGTGTTCTCTGTACAATACATCCATTTACAGAATCGGCCAGTACTGTGTACAACATATAAATACATGATAAAACATTAGAGGTGCATAGAGCATACTTACAGAAGCCAAAAAATTCACTTTATACATCCAAGGATAAAGAGTTAAAAATATAAAAATAAGAAACACACACTGCTTTGAAATGTAAAATGACTTTCACATACACAGGTGCGTGGAGATGCCCACTCCCACGGAGTCCAAAGTGACAGGAGGGTGTCAAGCAGAGGAATTCACCTGCCAAATATCTGGACATCTGACTTACAAGGTCTACAGATGGCATTTTAAGAGGAAAGACAACCCTATGCCCGACCCCGTTGTCCAAGCGAGTCTATTCGAGGTTCCAAAAGCTCCTGTGGGCCAGTGAATTGTACCGAGACAGGAAAGTCCCAAATTTGCTTCAGCAATAGAACCAAAGGTCAAACCGGCTCCTGTCAACTGGCCAATGCCAGAACTGTGACCCTGAGGTCAGCAGGTGCTTGGGCCCCCTGGTGGGCACTGCTGGGAGTTATTTTAACCCTGTGCTGGCTTCCCCAGCCATCAACTAACTCCCCCAGGACCGGAGTAGCAAGCAGAAGGAAACACGGCAGGGAGGGGGCAGTGGAAGACTGACATTTCTACTCAGTTCGGGTAGGTTAGTTCCCTCGATGGAGAACACAACCTTCTTTCTTCAGTTTCGAGTCCCTCTGGGTGTCAAGCAAGCTCCCCATACCACACCAGGCTCTGTCTGCACGAGAGCTTGAGTTGGCCAGCCGGCCTCGGGCGGCCCAATGAGCTGCCCCGCGGGAAGCCCTTGCAGCAAGACCAGCAGAGTTGGTAAGCGACAGAGGGGCCTTAGCACTACAAGTTTTAGGGAGGGGCAAGAGTGCTCTTGCCTAGAGACAGAGTCTGTTATATCAATGGGGTTCTGTACACAGATGGAAGATCAATCATTATCAAAATACACACACTAACTATACAACTTTTCCCATGGCCATAATTTATTATCTCACCACAAGGCACAATACACAGAGCTTTGAGGGTCCAATACAGTCATCGTGACAGAACGCACCACAGCCCTGACACATGATCATGGCTTTCAGGCTGCACGCACACTGGAGCGAGATGCTTTCCACCGTGCTGCTGTCGGTGAACATCTGCAAGGAAAGTGATGCACTGTGGCTCGCACCAAAGTTTGCTTTGTGGCTCAGCTGCACCACACTTCCAGCAAGGCCTTTGGGAAAGGTGGGGGAGCTCGAGGAATAATTAAAGCTGGTGGAACTTAGCTGGAGTTTGGAAAGCTTCCCATAAAATGCCTGCTTGATATTGAGTTGGGAGGGGATGGAGGAAGGCTCCAGAGGCTGACCAGGCCCTTTCCCAGGCTCTCGGGGTAACTTCCAGAAGGGCAGGTCAAGAACAAAGGGCATCCCTTGCAAGTGATCCACCAGCTCCCGAGGACCAGGCCCAGCTGCGTTTCTGTTCTCTGCATTTGCCTTGAGAGGACCGCCCCCAAAAGTCTTCTCGTTCTTGACACCACCAAGAGAGGCAGGCGGTGGCCTCGGAGCCCAGTCTTCCCTGGCAGTCTGTACCCCACCGGACACAGAGTTTTTGCTTGGCCCCAACTGCCTACTGGGAAACCCAGGAGAGGCATCAGCGGGCAGTGGCGTCGGCTCCACGGGTCTGGGGCGCTGAAGGGCCGCGGCCTCATTCCTAGGGCCAAAGAGCTTCTTCCCTTGACCTCCAGCACCATTCTGATTACCCAGGGCCTGACCTGTCTGATCGGGATCCAAGGAGATCACGTTTGGAGATGAGAAACAAGGGACTCTCGAGGTAGTGAGATTTCCTGGACTTCTGCCTGGGGCAGCATTTGAATTACTGCGCTGGGACAGGTCACGGGCTTCCTTCCGATCTTCCACACTAACAGGAGAGAACTGCTCTTTGGAATCCACTTCTTCCACTTTCCCAGAGGCAGCCATCAACTTTGTCACTGGATACAGGGAGTCTAAACTTGGGGCTGTCTTGGCAATCTTCTGGGGAGCTCCAGGAGCCTGGGTGGGTTCCAGCCTGGCAAGACCAGTGCTCACTTCACGGATCTCAGGTAGAAGCAGCTCCTTTGAAGCTCTTAAAGAACGGGGGCTGGT